CAATCGCACATTATTTTATGCTTTTCACGAATAAGTGCAGGGCAGACACACAGAAGCACAACTGCTGGATCCAGGATACAAACACTTTAACCTTTAAGTAATACATCCAAATTGTTCCTGTCGTGGTGTTACCAATTTTTTTCACAGGCTATAACTAAGTGGAGTCCCTGAGTGGTGCAAATGGTTAATAAGCCTGGCTGCCGGAAGGTTGGAGGTTCAAGTCTACCCAAAGGCACCTCGGAAGAAAGATCCAGAGATCTATCTTCAAAAAATCTGCCACTGAAAACCCTGTGGAGCACAGCTCTACTGTGACACATGTGGGGTCACCAAGAGTTGGAACTGACTTGACCGTAAATGGTCTGGTTGATTTATGGTGTAATGCCTGTTCTCCCATATTCTGGCCAGGTTAATTATTTTATCTTTTCCAATCCAACAAGCGAAAAGGAGTATCTCATTGTGGTTTAATATGCGTATCTCTTATTATGAGATGGTTTGATAATATTTTCACATGTTTAAAGGCCATCTGCATTACTCTTCTGTAAACAGTGTTTACATCATTTCACCTTTTTCTATTTAGGTCTTTTTCATATTGATAAATACATGAAAGAAATATGTCCTTTGCCTAGAATGAGAGATATTTTCCCCAGTTTGTTATCTGTTGTTTCAATTTTATTTATGATGAAATGTAACCAAAGTTATTCTTCATTTAATGGCTTCCGAGGTTTGGGTTAAATTTAGAAAGGTTTTCCACATTCCAAGATTATTAAAAGTAATAATTCTCCCATTATTCATCCTAATAATTCTATGATTCATTTTTTTAAATTTAAATCTTTGATTCATCTAGAATATATCTGGGGCAAGGGGTAACAGTGGGGATCCAACTTTATGTTTTTTTTCTAGGTTGCTATCCACTGCTGAGTGACTGAAACTTTTTAGATGTTGTAAGTTAGGCTCAGAAGTAGGGATGACTGCCAAGCTCAGAATAAGTGAGACAGACACCAAAATTAGAGGTTTAGGGATCCTAAAAAGCATATAGCATTAAAAGCACAGATCCTGGAACCAGATACCTAACATATATTAAGCATATTAGCTACTACTGTTGTTAATTCTGGAAGATAGACAGTAAGTAGTAGCAAGATAGGGGCTTCCCTATTTATGATTTTTATGACATTTAGGTTTCTGATTAAGACCTAAAAGTGAATTATCTCTTATCCAATTAAAATAACTAAATATGCACTACACAACAACCCAATCTCATCGAGTCGATTCCGACTCAAAGTGACCCTACAGGACAGAGGTAGAACTGTTCCACAGGGTTTCCAAGGAGTGGCTGGTGGATCCAACTGCCAACCTTTTGGTTAGCAGCCGAGCTCTTAACTACTGCGCCACCAGGGCTCGTGCACTATACAACAGAGGTGTTAATAACAGTATTTTTATAGCATCTTACAGATTTTATAAAGTGACTTCACTAACACTGATTTACTTCATATCCTCATAATCACACTGTGAGAAGATGGGCAAATATTTTAATTCCCATTTACTGCTGGGAATATTTTAGTGATGGTAACTTGTCCCTTTACTTAAAGGAAATGACAGAGCCAAACTGAAACCCAGATATTATGTTTCCAAATGCTGTTAACATACCTACTGCCTTCATACCCTGCACCAAGTACTTTTACACAAAAATGAATGAGAATTTCCATCCTGAAGAAGCTTGAAACAATTTGCCAGGTAAATATTGAGACTGATCACAAGCTTTATTCTAAGTATGCAAGGAACACATACAAGTATAAAACATGGTCCCTGGTCTCAAGAAACCTTCAAAGGTCTATAGTAATTAAAAAAGCAAGACTTAGAGGAGTAGAAAGTAAACCTGAACAGCAGGAACTATGTCTTATCTATTTTGTCCATGTCTTATGCTACTCTGTATGGTCTGCATGACTAAAATATATTATTATTAGCTCAGAAAATATCTGTTGGCTGTCTATTATTGATTGAACCTTTTAGACAGGGTGAGATACGGAATATCTGACTTGATTCATATTTTCCAGGGGCTCAACTTTTGTTTGAGACCAAAGAGCCAGCCAAATCATCAAATACCTCTTATACTATATAACAAAGGAAGGGTTGGCGCCATTCTGGGCTGTACCTACTGACTAAACATATTTCATATCAAAATAAAGATTTTCAGCTATATTATTCCATTACATTTCAAAGCTGCCAGAAGGTTATATAACAATCTCCAGAACTGAATCCAGTCCAACTGCCACAAAATATAATTAAAATCCACTGTTGCTTTATTCCAAATTAAACACATCTCTTGCCTCTACAACAAGCAATTACCCATAATACTTCTTGTCAACAGGTCTTTCTTTGTGTTGTTTCCTTCTAGCATCTTGTCAACGTTATCTTCTACAGGTCTTTTATTTTTTAATCTTAACAATAACTTACCTGCTACGTAAAAGTTATTATTTTTCTAACTTTTGAAATATTTTAATAAATATGAAGGCAGAACAAAAGGTGAGTAACAGGAAAATTCAAATGTAAAATTACACCCAGCTTACAAAGTACAATTTTCTATCCTGCCATATATAACTTTGTTCCAGAGTCAGCATGCCCTGTTCTCCAATCTATCCAATGATTTGAGATATCTGCACTCTAGCCCCAAGAACTGGCACTGTTTGTAAAAGCCTTGCATGGGTCAAAATAACTTTTAAACCTTTAACAAAAAAGCCCAAAGAGATCAGGTCTAAATTTTAGTGGTATGCCATACGTTACTCAGAGTTCTAAATTCAAATAAAAGGGGGAACAGAAAGTTGACAATAAACTAATAAATGCAAAGAACTCTTACAAAGCCATGCATCTAGAAATTATACACAATGATAAATATATACAATACTGAGGAGGCATTATTATTTTCACTAGAGGGACAAGAGCTTTCTTCAGTGATTATTTATGGCAAAAGTTTAGTACAGTGAACAATCTGTCATAAATTGCCTCAATATACCATAAATGTGGTTATACTCTAGGTCAAATATGTGGGTATTACAGAAAGAAAAAGCATGTGAAAGAAATCAGCACAATGCCTGCACACTGCTGAATCTCATGCTAGAAGATAAAGAGCCATTTATGAGACTATTAAATTCGGCTCTCAACGCTGGCAACAGAATAAGGTTCCATTCTTTTTGAAGGGTAAAGATACTGTACTAGCCATTCAAAGCAGATAGCCTCGAGATTTCCCTTGTATTTTAAATGAATAATAGATTTATGAGTTACTGAGTGCTTACTATATGCCTATTATCATGGAGGAGACGGAGGTAAAATATGAAAAAAACCTAATTCCTCTTTTCAAGGAGCTCAAAGTTTAAAGAAAACCAAAGTTCTAAAGTGTACTTAAAGATGAAACAAAAATAAAATTTATATCATCCAAAGATAGGTGGGTATTGATTTATATCTCCTTTCTTTAAAAAAAAAAAAAAAATACTGCAGGCTCTAATTGTATTTAAAGTCTCTAGTCTCTGATGCTTACAATAAAAAATTCTGGGACTCAAAATAGATTTGCTAGCCCGTATGAAATACCCCAAAATTCTACTCCCTGTGTGCCTAACCAAAGAAAGTAACAATCCTCCTGGGTATCCCTATATAGAAAGAAATGTTTCAAATAGGGAAACTCAAATTCAGTCTTCAGACTTTCTTCTCAGTAATCATCTCCATTCAATTCAACCTAACACTTACAAGTATACAAATTACTAGACAAATTCTCTCATTACCCTCTCTCTTCTGGACTCTTAGAAAATCTGTGGTCTATGCCATACAAATTGTTCTTAATCATAGAGTATTCCTTGTATTGTTCACAATGAGTTCTTGTGGCACTTGGAAACAAGTTTTATGGTAATCAAATCTTTATATCTCTCCCAAAAAAAACAGGTTAATGCTTAGTATAAATATTCATTCAAAATATATTTATTAAGCTTCTCCTATGTGTCATCACTGAACAGAATTTGTGGAAGCAGAATTTAAAAAGCAGAAGTTATAATGGTTGAAATGTCCTATTTCATGCTCTGTCCTCTAGGTTCCCTTTACAAACATACTTGAATTAATTACAAACTTCCACATTAAAACTATGGAAATCCTTTTTCCAAAATTCAACGTATTAGTTAACACCTTTGCCTCCAAAGATCCCTTTATACAATGAGCCCTTCCAAGACCAGATGTAAAAGCACAATTATTCCCATCATTTCTGAGGTAGTATTCACATCTGCAAAGAACAAACAGTAGTTCTTGAATCTGAGAGCGCTAAACAGTGAATAGAGATGGCTGGTTTCCAACTAGCAAGAACTCTGAAGCAGAAATATTAGTATTTTTTTACCCAAATGATTAGTATAGTTAAAGAGAAAAATAAGTGCAATGGAAACTTTAAATCATCCATTTTTCAGAACCTGATCTGAACCTGATAAATGGCCTTCCTCTGAGCCCTAGGAAACCTCTGCTCCCGTTTTATGTTTCATGTGGGTCAATTTTTCTCTCCACCACTACATGGCTTCTGATTACAGAGCAAAACAGCCAGGACAGTCACAGGCTTCAGGGAAAATTTGGGAGGATAAAATTTAAACTCTGCTGTTGAAAAGTTCTCTTCATAATACAGACAACACAATACAAAGTCACTAAGTGATACAAAGAAAGCACACTCTGATACTATGTATTCCTTTTACTCTATCCACCCATCACCCCACCAAAAAAAATTTAAAAGTTTGAGCCACACGCATTAAGTCTGACCTGGAAGTTTTAATGACAAAGCAGCTTACTCTTGCAAAATTTATTAGCAAACATGGAGTGACTTAAAATATAGTCTTAGGGAAAATAGACTATTCTAGAGGGGGCACAGGGAAGCAGGGGGGAAAAAACCCAAACACTTTTTTTTAAAAGACAACAAGTATAATCAGGCACAAGATCTGCATCAAAAATATTGTTATCTTTTTCCATAAATTTAAAAAACTTACCCTGAAGAGATTTTCCCAATCCCTGGCCCAGCTTCCACCCATGTTTCTGGAGTAAGCGGTGTCCAATATTATCCTGACAGACAGAACAGAGAGACAAACCAAAAATATTCCAATAATATATTCTTCCCTTCCTAGTGACATTTACACAGGTGATGAGCAGGAGATAATTCTACATATATGCATGCAAAAGGTGCTAATAATAGAGTAAATGTGCCCAATAAAAGGGACATTAATGTAAGAAATGCTGGCTAGTATTTTATATGGGAAGAACACATGGGGGAAGGGTCCTTTCTGATGGTGTGCTGGGCAACTTTTGTACATAACACTAAAAAGGAGAAAAAAGGGGAAAGGGAAAGGGGGAGGAATACATTTATGAAGTTTATTAAAAATAACATTAAAAAGCATCAAATCAAGGTACAATCATATCCACCACCTAGACAAGCACCACTTTAAGATTTCTTTTTAAAGAAAATCTATATTGTGTTTAGTTTTTTGTTTATGTGTCAGGCTTTCATGATACAAAGTAAGTTGTAAGTGTAAGACTGCCCCACCACTAGAAATGAAAACACAATCAGAGCAAAATCCAGGCTAGACTTGATTGGTTTTTTTTTTAATGTATATATATATATGTATATATATAAATATTTAACTAGCATGCAGCCAATATTAAACTGAAAAAACAGTGAGGTTAGTAAAACAAGAAATTAAATTGATTAAACAGAAAAATAAAATGAGCTCAAGCACAGACTGAGTGATGCATTTCAACATGTAATCTAACAAAATTGCTAAAATGTTAGAATGAAACAGGCCTAGCAATAAGTTAACAGTAAAGAACCATTAGTGCATGTAGGGGGGAGAAAACCAACATACATAATGTCTCATCTTCCTAGGAGAACAGTGAAAAGGTATTTCAATGTAAATTGCATGAAAAGACATCAGAAACAACAAGTAAATGTCAGCTTCTGTGTAAGGAGTCAAGGTCTCAGAAATCTCTGCAGCCCTTTGTCCAATTCTTTGATTTTTACAGTTACTATGAAGTAGCAAGACAAAGCTAAAATAACCATTCACTGTATCAGATAAAATGATGCTACTCAACCAATGGGAAACATTGAAAAATTATAAACACAGAGTGTTCTTTATGCATAAAAAAGTAATTTACAGTATCAATCTGGTATCATCATTTGAAATAACCTCTATTTCCTGAAATTAATTTATAAAATTAACAAAATCCCAAATCTTTTAATTAAAACCAAATAATCCATAAACTGCTTATTACTTTTCAGTTCCAAAATTCAATGATAAAATGCTCTTTGGAGTCACAGAGGAAATAAAACAATTATTTTACTGTTAATCTTCTCTGATAGGAAGTTAACAGATTAAGTCTCCCCAGTGCTCAGTTTAAAAAAAAAGACAACTTCCTTCTACAAATTTCTGACAGCATGCGAACTGGAAAACTGGACTGAGCAGCTGTTTCACTGATCAGGTGGGAAAAAAATCAACATACTTTTTCAAAAAACAAAACCGGCTAGGCAAATGCCAATTAAAACTTGTTTCTGAAACAAAAGATACTATTTTTTTAAATATACAAAATCATGATAGTCCTCAAAAGGTCTCTAGAAATTACTTTTGCTAGGAAAAAGAATTACTAGAAAACTCTATGGTATGTGTAATCCCAGGAAATGACTTCCACATTATTAGATATCACAAAAACTTTATCTAATACTGCTGCCTCTTCTTTCTCCCTTCTCCCCTCTCAACTGAAATGCCAGGAAAAGTATCCCCTTAATTAGTATTGGGTGTCTATTTATAAATAACTTCATTATCAAAAAATATGAAAAGTCTTAATGTAAGTAATATTAGCAGAAAATGAAAAGGTAAAGAGGCTCTTCTTTTACTACTATGAAAACAAACTTACCTGTATATAAATTCTTATTTCATAACAGAATTCCTACAACTGAGTAACCCTAGAAAGGACAAGGATAGCAGAACGACTCTAAGATTATATGGTTAATTTAAATTAATGTTTAATCTTTTCATAGGCTAATGTAACTATACTTGGCATAGGAATTTCGAGTACTAAACAATGCTGACAAAAATTGTTGCTCCCCTTTTTTTATTTAAGAAAACTCAAATTTTTGGTTATGCAGAGATGAGACATTATGCTGACTGTGTTATATTATGAATGCACTAAAAAAAAACAGACAGATGAAGCAGTATGCTATTTCCAAAAGCAGTGCAAGTGGAGTGAAAGCATTTCCATACGAACCTGGCTTTAAAAACTGGGCTGTCAAAAGAACAGTTAAATGTAACACAAAGTAAGAAACTGTCCAATCACTAATGGTCGTTTTATTTTATTTTTGTCTTGTTTTCAATTCACTGCTTGCAAGTAATGTATTTATTAAGAAGAGTGAAAGCATAAGTAAATTCACGAGTCAAGACCAGCTGAGAGATTCAAGAGCAGCGTGTTGTGACTGACAACAGTGAAAGGAAAAGCAAATGTTAAAGGGAGAGGAAGAAAAAAAGAAAAATTTAAGGTTATACACATTAGCACCACTTTTACAAAACCACTCAAGAGGACAGCTGTCACCTTCTCAAAGAAAAGCTAATGAAACAAATGGCAGTGGCATTTCTCTTCTAAAACTTCAGGTAAAAACTGCTCTTTAATTAAATCTACTTTCCCAAATATGATTAGGGAATAAAATATTGAAGGCTATATTAAAATTATTAACATGCCACCCTTAGTCCTTCTGATGACAACAAAGGCAATAGAAACAGCAGACATATCTCCCAGAACCTCTTCCTCTCATGGGAATAACCAACCTCGTAGATTAGAGTGAGTGACTAATACAGAAAAACTAGGCCTTTCTATCATTCCAGGCTATCTGCTTTTTGAGGGAAAAAGGCAGCTCTGTGACTCTGCTGAAAGGGCTAGTATTCACTTTGGTCCCCTTTTCGACTAAGAAAGAAGAAAAAGTTTTCATAAATGCTACTCAAAAATCCAAGTAGGCTTAAGGATGATGGATAACACAGGAAGGCACACTAAAACATCTTATAACAATGTAGAACAAAGCAGATGTGCCTATCTCTGAAATGTTCAAATGTTCACCGAACTCTCACTGTGAAAGAACAACGGACTCATCCACCAGCCTAGAAAAATAACTACTAGTCTCTGTTTAAGGTTGTGATTTTTCCAATTATTCCCATGGATGATATTTACAACAGTAAACTGAACTAATTTCTGGTCCAAACAGATAATCTAGACAGATTAGGGCAATGAGCACTAAATTTACCTAAAATAGTAAAAGATTAAGTAATTACTATTTTAGTCATTACAGTACCAAAACAAAAACCAAACCCGTTGCTGTCAAGTCGATTCCGACTCACAGCAAACCTATAATGACTAAAAAAATCTTTCGGTTGTTAATGTGTAGTTTGGGGTTTAATTATAATCTCACAGAACCAAAAATAAATAAGAAGACATTTTCTTCTTTTCTAACACAGCCTGGTTCACGACTACCAAAAAAGCATGATAGTGGCAGGCTGTTTATAATTTCAATGTATGTGGAATAACAGCAAGAAAATTTTAGACTAATTAAAAAACAATTGAACTCTGCCCAAGGGTGGTAGGCAAAAACCTAGTCTTCCACATGATTCATAAAGCATTCCCACAAACCACCGATTTGTTACTCTCTGTGCTCAAAACCCCAAAACAGCAGCAGCATGGCAGCATCTTTGGACATGAAGTTCTTCTAATTCTAGTTAAACTGCAAAGCTGAGCTGAAAACCCAAACTTTTTTTCACTTAGATTGCCTCAGTTGTCCTTTACCTTTTTTTTCTATTTCTAAACCTGAATGTATAATTAAAATGCTACATTCTTATCCTTTGTTCCCCTCTATTATATGTGTAAAACAGCATATGAATGCGAAAAAGGGATATAATTTTTAAATGGGAAGATCTTTGAAAGCAAGAAATGTGTGTAACTATAAATATGCTGAAAATAGAGTATCATCAATAAAAAATATCTCATTATTGTTTCAGTCATTCTTCAACATTTTTATTAACTAAATACCAAGCAGAAAATTTTCCCGGGAATTCCTCTCTGCTGCATGAAGCTATATACCACCACAGTAACACAATGATCATTCTGGCACCACCACCACCAATCTATATAATGGTAGCCTGCCAAAACACAAATAAAAATTTACTTTATTGTATGGAGCTGATTCCAAGTTTTTGTAGTAAGAAACAGAATGTCACATCTCAAGAGAAAACTATACTACAGGTATGCCAGTGACTGGATGGATATCAATTCCACGCTGAATTTTCTTTTAGCTGCCAGCCACATTCAGTTTACATCATTTAGCTCATTTTCAACAGTGACAAAAACGGTAGGTCTCTTGAGTGGATTGTAAGCTTTGCTGATTGTGTATTAAAGAATCTATAAGCAAGAACTGAATGCTAATAAGTGAACCCATGCAAACAACATGTTGTAAAAATTCCCAAAACAAAAAATCTCTAGCTCACTACAGATGACACAATGAAGACTGGAGAGAAAAGCCATATAGTAATGCTACACCATTCAGCTTCAAGAAGCACATTATTTATAGTGCAGTCCACATATGGTCACTGCTAAATGTCAAATCAGCAGTCTTATAAAGTTACAGTTTGGAACTAGTGGAGTCCACAGATCTAAACAGATACGCAACATGACAAAACCCAATTATACATATACTTCTAAATCCTTAGATGAGCAAACTAAACATCAGCCACCAAAGTTTGAAAACTTACATTAATTTTTAAAACCTGACAACTGTTAAGACAGAATTTTAATTACTCAGGCAAAGCAAAGACCAACTAATGTGCTAATGGGTAGTTTTACTTCCAGCTACAACAATGACAACATATTTTAAGTCTATGATGTAAGCGTTTTTGCCTTCTGTACAGCTTAAAAGAATTCTGTCACTTAATTTCTCATCTTCCTTCTATAATAAAGGTCCTAAAAGACCAAATATTCTAAATCACACTAATTCTTAGAACTATGGTGGAGTCCTAGACTGGGTTTAGATCAAGTTTGATTTGTTCTCTAAATATCTTTAAGTATTTGAAGGTCATAATTATAATGGCTATTATAATGGCTGGGTCCTAAAAATCTCAAAGCAATAACAACTTATAAAATTCAAATTCCAAAAACACTATTTGTAGTAATCAATTCTAATACTAATACTTTCTACCTTGTCTTTAAATTTGGATAATTAAGTTGTCTGACAATTCTTACATAATTTTCTTAGAAAGGTGTTTTACTCTTCATTAGAAATTTCATTGAAAGCTATTTGGTTGGTTAAAATAAAGAGGGGGGAATAAGACTTTATAATAAAGATTATGTAATTCTTTACAAATGCTGGATTTTGATGTGTTTTCAACATTTGCCTATTTAAACTGAAATACCTGTATCATCTCACTAACAAATCTAGGTTTTAGAAGTTCACTAAGCATAATACATGATTGCATCTTTGTATCTCACTTTCCATCTTGCCAGTTTGCATCAGATTTACCCTATTAGAAAACAAAAAGACCTTAATCCTATACTCACAATAACCCTTCACACAGGCAAATCCTTGGCACAAACCTGTGCAGAGACTTCCACGGTTACCAGCTGCTGCAGATTACCTTTGTTAAAAAAAAAAAATGACTAGACCTTTAGCTCCTGCAATGATCTGTAGACTCCCAAAGCTGCATATTTCCAGCCACTTTTGAGTTGCATGCTGTAGCAAAACAGTCAGCACCTCTCAACAGATATTGCTGCAGAGAAAGATTTTAATTCAGCATAGAAAAAGCTGCGCCATTTCCCTCTAAGAACAAGACGGCTCGATATAGCCAGCCAGCCATATAACTCAATATATGCTATCATTTCTTAGGTGATAGGGGACTTCTTTTGTTTAGGGGGAAGAGGGAGGAAACACTACCTACTTTGGTGCCGATCATTTTATGAGTTTCTTTGAACACTTCAAATCTGATTCCCAAATGATTTGGTAGCAGAAATAAGATCCCTCCCATCTTGTGTGCCCCAAAAAAGTAGGCTTTGAAGCTCCTGCTGCTATACCTGAACTACCATATCTCACATAATGCATGTATTTATGTATCTCAGGAGTAAACTTCCATTAGAAGTATACATTAATATACTATGTATCTCTGGACATACACTTATTTACAAAAAAAATTCAGCCTAATTACTATACTATTTGCTATTTTAAGTGGAAAAGATAATTCTATTTAATAAATAATGCATATCAATTCCACTCCTACTCACTGAGATTACTCATGAATGATTAGTCAGACTGTCTTCTGATAGTTTTCTCACTTTGACATGTGCCAGAATTTATGACAAGTGTGAGAGGTGAAATAGCATTAGCCTCACCTGACACAGGAATGAATTCTTCAGAAACCTTTAAAGTATAGCCCTCAAAGAAGGCTTAATCCACTGCCCTCCAGTTGATTCCAACTTACAGCAACCCTACAGGACGAGGGAGAACTGCCCCATAGGGTTTTCAAAGCTGTAAATTTTTACAGAAGCCAACTGCCACATCTTTCTCCTGCAAAGCGGCTGTTGGGTTCAAACCACCAACCTTTTGGTTTGCAGCCAAGTGCTTTCACCACTGTGCCACCAGAGGTCCTCAAAGAAGGCTTAGGAAATGTTAAAAATCGTTTAATTTAGTGGTTTTCTAAAATCTTTGTTAAGTATAGTAATAATGAACACTAGGCTGTAAATTTACTCTAATTATAAATTTCCTGCTGCTGTCAAGTCAAAGTACCCCCAAAATTACAGCATGTATAAGAATACTAACCAATCATGTACCTTGTAGAATACGGTACTGCGAACTTGCTTCTGAAAGATCTGTTCTTAAACTCTGACACAAAGAAACATTTAAATTAAAATGGAAAAATTGTTATTTTTCAAGTGCAAGATACTGATCTAGCCTGCAGATTACATTATAAAATTCTACCTTATGCTAATCCCCAAAATGATAAGGAACAAGGCATAAATTCCAATGGTTTTTAATTTAGCAAGGTGGGCTTGGCATTTATCCTTATGTCAAAACACAAGATTGGGCTTTCAGCGCATCAGATGTGAATTCTCCCTCTGCAGCATTATCACATGCGTCATCAATTACTGCCATGCCTAAGTCTAGCATCATGCCAGCACATTAAGACAGAAAGTACTATATGCAGTGTTCACTGGACCAGAAGGACAGAAATAAGAAGGGGAGGTGGGGGAAAAAGAAACCCTAGAAAAGAAATTAAAAAAAGGCAGACCGTGCAATACAAACCAGATCATGGCTGCTTAGCTAATATGGGCCAACTGCTGTGGAAGAAAAATGTCGAACACCCCAAGTTGTGTAAATTTCTGTAAACATCTAAACACACACACAAACACACACACAACACCAACCTAATTAGGAACATAAATATATGTTGATCCTTTACTATGTTACAGTTTTGAAAATAAAAGCTAAAATTAAAATATCTGTACTTTCTAAACTGCCTTCTTACTTTCCTGAGGGAGGAGAAGAAGCTACTGTTTCTTAAAGGGAGTGAGGAGCTTGCCTTGACTACTACAAAGATTAAGAGTCCCTCTCTGATTTACTTTTTTCACTCAAATCTTACCAATAGCTCACTAAAATTCTTATTAAGTATGTACACTTAAGCACACTTATTAAATGCTGACATACTGACAAGTTTAGACAGTTTAACAACAGACTGTGTAATTTAAAAATAATGGGTTTTTTAAATGAAAAAAATGCTGAAAAATTAATTTAAAAAAAAAAAATAGAGGAAAAGAAATCTCCTTGTTTTCTTGCTTGGCATTAATCTCCAAAACTAAGCTGTGTGAAAATAGAAAGAATTGGCTTTTGACAAAAACCAGACATCTCTTATGCTACAGAAACCAAATTTACCATGTTCCGTAAGTCTGGTAAATAAAATGTATTAATCCTTAACTGTTTCTAATGGAGCACTTCACACATGATTGCACTGCCCAAGAAAAGTGAAGCTATTAAAGGATCAAAATACATTTTACTCCTTTATTCAATTTACGAAAATACTAAACTTTAACTGCTATCTTTAACCGAATATTAGTATGGGCCAAAATGATATTTTTCCATCAAAGTTCTAACTTGTTTTTAGAGTTTTTAGACTAATCTCCCAACATATTAAATATTATACTACATCCCAAACTCTATTAGATTACTGTAGGGCATGCAAGTAAAAAGCTTTAAACTGTACTATCAGTTATTAGTAAGCTTAACTTCATTCACATCAAGTGTCACACGAACACTACCTAACTGGCTATGACCCAAAATTAAACACTGATCATCTTACCGATTCTATAGGCTTATCAAGTGACGCTTGTTCAATTTCCAAGTGTCCTTCTTCATACTGATCAAAGTGATTACCCTGAAAAAAGAAGACTACAGTTATTTTTCAAAAGCAATACATACCAAAATTTCTAACACCTAATCAAACTAGGGGTCATTTTTAATCTTACATTCCTTTTTTTTTTTCCTCTCTTTTTTTTTAAATTGTACTTTAGATGAAGGTTTACAGAACAAATAGTTTCTCATTAAACAGTTAGTACACATATTGTTTTATGATAATGCTTAACAACCCCACAACATGTCAACACTGTCCTTCTCAACCCTGGGTTCCCTATTAACAGCTTTCTGTCCCCTCCTGCCTTCTAGTCCTTGTCCCTGGAGTGTTGTGCCCCATTAGTCGTATTTTGTTTTATGGGGCTGTCTATTCTTTGGCTGGATGGTGAACCTCGGGAGTGACTTCATTACCGAAAAGGTGTCCGGGGGCCATACCCTCAGGGTTTCTCCAGTCTCTATCAGGCCAGTAAGTCTGGTCTTTTTTTGTGAATTAGAGTTAGAATTTTGTTCTACATTTTTCTCCAGCTCTGTCCAGGACCCTCTGTTGTGATCCCAGTCAGAGCAGTCAGTGGTGGTAGCCAGGCACCATCCGGTTGTACTGGACTCAGTCTAGTGGAGGCCGTGGTAGTTGTGGTCCAATAGTCCTCTGGACTGCTCTTTCCCTTGTATCTTGTTTTCTTCATTCTCCCTTGCTCCCGAAGAAGTAAGACCAGTGGAGCATCTTAGATGGCTGCTCACAGGCTTTTAAGACCCCAGACGCTACTCAC